AATAATAGAAATGAACAGACAAAGCCATAGCCTTTTAGGTAAGTTCAGCTACATGGATAACAGGAATTGGCCAAACTTGGTTAACATGAAACCAACTCCAAAATGTTGAATAATTAATTTACTTTTTTTATGTTCACCTCTACATCTGAAATGAAAAATCTTAAAAAATATAAGCCGAACCAAGTAGCTAATTCTAACCTTACATAGCAGTTAGTTTTTGAAAACCAAGTTGCATATGCACCCGCCAAAACGAGAAGCAGCAAGCGAGAAGCAGCAGCTAAGTTTGAATGGCAGCTAAAATGACACTGTACTTGTCACGGCAGATAAAAGAAAGACAAATCGTCCAGACTTTAAATCAATTCTCGCAACTCACATATATGTCTATCTTCAAAATATTTTTTAATTAGTTTTTTAAAAACATAACGAATATATTTTTTTTTCTAATAACCGCGAAATATTAGAATTTAATATAAATTTGGTAATATATTTTCCGTTAACAAATCACAGTCTTTGAAAAGGAGTGGGCCAACCATAAATAGTTAAACAAAACAATTTAGTTATGACATCTTGTAATTCAATGATTTTTAATTTTTATATATTTAAGATTGTAAATATTTAAATTTAATTTAACTTTAAAAAATTAACACGTAAAATAAAATTTGTATCTATTTTAAAATAACCTTGACTTCCAAAACCATCTTTAATTCCAAAAACAAACATGAAAAATGATAAATAACAAGAGACGTAAATGAATGAGTAGGAATAATGGAGTGCTGACTCACTAGTTTTTTTGTGTCTACCTAAGACACAGTTATCCCTTACAGTAACAATAATACAAGGTTAGTTGGTTGTTTTGCTGAAAACAAATCAACATGGCTATCAATTAACTTATATATTGTTGTCCATGGAAAACAACATTATTGGATGAGTAGAAAACGAAGAGTTATTTATAACGTTGTCCCACATTAATTTATAATGTAAAATTGTACTAGAAGAAAGAAGAGTATTGGGTAGTGTAGTGTAATGTGTAGTATGTGTGAATATTATAATACACTTGCAAATAATTGTCGTTTAAATAAACTACTTTTGTTGCTATTTATTTGTCTTTTGATGTTATTATGAAGAAATAACAAGATATAATAATTTATCTCCATTTCAATAAAAATAGTTGTATAGTTTCTTATTTTTCTTTTCTTTTCTTTTAACTTAACACACTAAATTAATGTGTAAATATTTTAAACTTCACAAAACTCCCTCTTGTCAACTGCACCTTTTTTGGACAGTACAAGCATGGGCCCATAGGTAGGGAGGGGGCCAGGCACAGTGTTTTGTGTCAACTTTTTTGGCTACAGATAGGGGACCAAAATATTCTTATTTTGTACTAATTGCATGGAAGTACCAATTGAGATGATCAAGGAGTGAAGAGCAATTAGTGGTGAAGTTTGGAGATTGAAAAAGATGGGTCCGCCGACAGGAGTTCTGATGAAGATACTGAGAGTAAGAATGTGTAAGGATTATATTTATCTTAAAAATAAATAAATTGAGATGTTTTAAGCTTTAGGAATGATAACTGAAAAATACTAGACACCTGGTGTTTGCACATTTAGTTATCTTACACAAACAACCGAAGATAAATCCATGTTTTTCAAAATGCCTGACACTATGCCATAAGTTACACATGAAGTGAGTGATTGTGAGCATTATAGGACTAACCAAGAAAGGTTCATTGCCCACTATGAAGTGCATGCATAGATAACCAAGGTTCAACAAACTAGATTTAGAGTATGAAAGAGGAACAAAATTTGTGATCTTTTATTAGCATTTGTGATTCACGTCATTTGGTGATCTTGGAGCATAAAAGTCCTTGACAAGTTATTGCCTCACCTTTAAGTAGTGCTGTTACTTAGGCTTAAAACAATGCTAAGCAAAATTTTTTTAAAAACACGTGAAAAAACACAAAAAATATGTTTATTTCAATAAAGAGAATAGTGAATTATTTCCTGTTGTTTTATTAAATATTAAATAAAATATAAATAGTCAAATATAGAAAAATTAGCGTCTATTTTCAAAAAACATGAAAATTTTGTTTATTGTAATTTGGTATTATATTTAAATTAGAATCTTCTTATTGTTACAAAAAACTAAATAAAATTATTTATTCTTTTATATTAAAGTTCACTCAAGGGTTTATGTAAAACAGCGAATCTAATGAAGGAGATAAAGAGAGACATAAAAGCAAGAGTGTGATTGAAAGATGATAAATAACAACAAAACACAATGATAAACGTGAACAGTGTTAGCATTAGGAAGTTGGTTAAGCGAAGAAGCTTTTGCGTTGTGAATCTCCTTAAGCTGAGTTTTCGCATCGAAGTGTTTATGAACATAATCGTAAGATTTGGTATATATATACTAAAGTCGACTTTAATTAATTAATAAACAAAACTATATCTGCCATTATAAAACCTTCAGTTGAGTCTTATTCTAGAAAATAATATAATAATAATGTGTGACTCGTGGTTTTTTAAGGACGCGTTGCCTTTTATTATAATAACAAAACCTACTATTGCGTTTTTATTTTAACAAAAGATAGCCTACTATTGTGTTAATTTTTGTCTATCATTCTTACCAAATCCTTTCTTTTTTAATCTCTAATAATTTTACCATCTTTCTTGTTGTTAGTGATGGAAAGGTAACAGAAATAATAAGTGAAAAAAATATCAAATAATAGGTAAAACAATATGATGTACTACACAGAAAAGAATAAAAACTACTCGACACTATTACTTTAAAAGGAAAAACCTCTATGGCAAGGACAAATCCAAAATTTTCCACTAATAATACCAATATACCGATAGAAGATAACGATTATTTATTAACAATTAGCAGATATATTATCAAGTATTAATGGGTCAGATTGCTTTACGCTAATATACGATATTAATAATTAATTATTGGGTTTGATTGTTTAAAATATATTGGATTAATGGTTAATCAATGTGATTGGCTACCATAACGCCCGATAAATATACTATTGATATTGAGGTAAAATAACATTGATCTATCCTAATAAAATAGAGACCTCTTTATGAAACATATCTAACTTGAGTGTCTTCTACAGGACAATAACCCATCGGAGTGGATTGCATTCTAGGAAATGATTACACGATTGAAAGAGAGTAGAGTAAGAAAGGACGACAGACCCTCGAACCAATTCAATTGAAACATTTGGCACACACCGTGGAGCCGAGCGACATCCCCATGAAACCACAAGGAACCAAACGTGCGCTCGATCTCAACATCACTACTTCAGATCAATACCAGGAAGGTTCAGTCACTTCCCGTTCGGTTAGTTGGACCACCTACAATCAACCTTGTTAGGTTCTAATGGCTTCTCATTATAAAAATAAAATATTGCATATTTTATCATATTTTTGTGAGTAAAAATATCCTGCACAAGATGGTTTCATCCCTTGGCTTGGTTATTGGCTCCATCAACGTTCACCTGTCAGATTCTAATGGCTTCTCATTATAAAAATCAAATATTTAATATTTTATTTCACGCATATTTTTGTGAGTAAAAATATCCTGCACAAGAGGGTTTTAGTCCCTTGGCTTGGTTATTGGACCACCAACGTTCAACCTTATCAGATTATAATGGCTTCTCATTATAAAAATAAAATATTGAATATTTTATTTCACGCATATTTTTGTGAGTAAAAGATCTTACAACGGGAAAATTCAGTCCCTTATCGCTATCCGCTGGTCAGTGGGACCAACCAACGTTCACAACCTTATTAGGTTCTAATGGCTTCTCATTATCAAACAAATATTGAATATTTTATTTAACGGGCATATTTTTGTGAGTAAAAATATCTTGCACAGAAGGTTCAATCCCTACCGCTTGGTCAGGTGGAACCAGATCCACTGTTTCAACCTTGTCCAGTTCTAATGGTTTCTCATAGTAAAACTCAAATATTGAAATTTTTTATTTATCACAAATATTATTTGTGAGTAAAAATATCCTAACAAAGGAAGGTTCATTCCCTTATCTTTGGTCAATTGGACCACCAACATTCGACCTTAGCAGGGTTCTAAAGGCTTCTCATTTGTAACAATAAAATATTGAATATGTTTACTATGTATGAATTTTGTGAGTAAAAATATCTTGGCAAAACAGGAAAAAGTTTCAAAGAGAACTCCTAGCATCTACTACTTCTCAACCTAGGAAAAAGTTTCAAAGAGAACACTAACATATACTGCTCAACCTAGGAAAAAAAGTTCAAAGATAACTCCAACGTCTACTATAAGAGAACCCTCTTTCTGGATTCAATTTTTCTATTTCATTTTTTGGACAATGCTTTCTTAATTAAGCACATATTTTATTCCTTCACGACAGAGTTTGAGCAGCAAAGAGAACAAACAATGATGAAGGAATTTTGGAGCATGTTTTGTGCAGAAGCAGATTGTCCTGGGACTGGAGGAAAACAACCCTTTTGCTTCCATTTGAAGATTTTGAAAGATCCTTCTTCATGCTTCAACCAGTTCTTGATCTTTCTCCTTGACGTGTCAATGCTGGTCATGCTGGCATTCATTCTGATCCGGAAGAATTTGTTCGGACCATTTCACGGTATGTTGCAGGTGGAAAGATATTCAAACTTGCAGCTAATTTCTTCCATAACCAATGCATCTCTGGGGTTGGTGTATTTGTGCTTAGGCATTTGGGTTTTAGAGGAAAACTTAAGGAAGAGTCACACTCTTCTTCCACTTAATGGGTGGTTGCTAGAACTCTTTGAAGGATTCAGATGGTTGTTAGTAGGATTAAGTGTAAGTCTTAAGCTGAAACAACTTCCAAGATCATGGTTGTGGTTGTTTTCACTTATTACACTATTTCTTTCGAGTATTTTCTGTGTTTTGTCCGTGTCTTATGCAATTTGTAACAGAGAACTGACCTTCAAGGAAGCTTTAGATGTTCTATCTTTTCCAGGAGCAGTTTTACTACTCTTGTGCACTTACAAAGCATCAAAATGTGAAGACACTGCTACTAGTATTGATGAAGACTTTTATGACTCTTTAAACAGCCACTTTGATGGAGTTGATCCTTATAACTACGTAACCCCATATGCTAAAGCTGGATTCCTTAGTAGGATGTCGTTTTGGTGGTTGAATCCATTAATGAAAATTGGTCAAGAGAAAACACTTCAGGATGAGGATATCCCAAAGTTGCCAGAATCGGATCGAGCAGAATTTTGTTATTTATCTTTTATAGAACAATTGAACAGGCAAAAGGGAAAAGAATCATTGCCACAATCATCAATTTTGTGGGCAATAGTTTTTTGCCACTGGAAAGATATTTTGATGTCAGGATTGTTTGCATTGCTCAAGGTACTCAGTGTATGTACCGGTCCTATACTTTTGAATGCTTTTATATCGATTGCTGAGGGTAATGGCAGTTTCAAATATGAGGGTTATGTATTGGTCATGTCACTTTTCATTACAAAAATCGCAGAGTCCCTATCACAAAGGCAATGGTATTTTCGCACTAGGCTTGTTGGGATGAAAATGAGATCACTACTTACAGCTTCCATTTATAGAAAAATATTGAGGTTGTCTAGTGCAGCTAGATTGACACACTCTAATGGTGAGATAATGAATTATGTGACTGTGGATACGTACAGAATTGGAGAATTCCCATTTTGGTTTCACCAGACATGGACAACAAGCCTCCAACTATGTATTGCAATTGTAATACTTTTTCGTGCTATTGGCCTAGCAACAATTGCCTCATTGGTGGTGATAGTTCTCACTGTGCTCTGTAATACTCCACTGGCAAAGATGCAGCATAAGTTTCAGAGTAAACTCGTGGTGGCACAAGATGAGAGATTGAAGGTCAGTTCTGAGGCTCTTGTGAATATGAAAGTGCTGAAGCTATATGCCTGGGAAACCCATTTTAAAAATGCTATTGAAATATTAAGAAACGTTGAACTGAAATTTTTAAGTGCTGTACAGCTGAGAAAGGCATACAACATAATTTTATTTTGGATCGCACCTGTTTTGGTGTCTGCTGTTTCTTTTGGGGCATGTTACTTTTTGAACGTTCCTTTAGATGCTAACAATGTTTTCACTTTTGTGGCAACTTTACGCCTAGTGCAAGAACCAATTACTGCCATCCCAGATGTTGTTGGGGTGGTCATTCAAGCAAAAGTTGCATTTTCCAGGATTGTTAATTTCCTTGAAGCACCTGAATTACAGAGTGTAAAATTCAGGAATAGGTGTTTTGATGATTGTAACAAAGGCCGAATTTCAATCAAATCTGCTGACTTTTCATGGGAAGGTAATG